GAGAGAGAATAGGCGGAGCGACGATGAGTGGTGGATGAAGAGAAGTCGGAAAGACTTGAGTTCGTCGTCGATACCCTTTGAGCGAGGAGGGATAGGAGCGAAAGAAGGAAGAGAGAAAGAGAAGAAAAGAAACGGAGTTGGAGAGCGATGAGGAAGGGAATGGTTGAGAGAAGTTGATTGAGGATTGATGAGGTTGGTGGAGTGAGTCGAGCAGTTAGTTGGGATTTGTGGAATGGTTGAGGCGTGAAAGTGTCGGAGACTGCTGGGGAAAAGGAGTGAGATGAGCGACGACGGAGACGCCTTTTATGCCTTAGTGGAACCCGGTTCAGCTTGTGGTTGAGAGGAGATGTCAGTTAGGCTTGTGGTGGATTAGGTCAGTTTCCATGGTGTTTGTGTTTGAGGCGGTGAGGAGTCGAGAGTGTCGAGGCGTTGTTTTGAGAAGATGTATGATTGGATGTATTGAGGGCAGAGAGGAGATAGAGAGATAAGAAACGATCAGAGAGGGATTGAAAGGAGCGGAAGGAGGGAGCGGAGTGAGCGGAGTGCGCGGAGTTTTTTAAGGAAAAGAAAGAGAAAAAGAAAGAAGGAGATAAGAAAAGAAAAGAAAAAGGAGAATTCCAGCGAGAATTCCAACACTACTCAATGGTTGGAAAATGAAAATGGGGAATTGTGTAATTTCAGAAGTGGTGGGTGGGCTGGGTTTGGGTCTGCTGTGATTTGAACATTGGTGAAGCAATTATACAGGATGTTGCCACAGGGAAGACACCAAGTAGCTTCCAGGTGCAACTCAAGTAACCCCCCCCCCCCCCCCACACAAGCCAGAAAAAAAGCACATTGAGCAACCCCCCCCCACCCAAAAAAAGGGGGCAAATCAAGTGTTGAGTAAACTCCCCCAAAATTGGGGGCAAATACTAGTGGCAAATAAAATTTATGTGACAAGCAAGTGTAACAGGGCTGGCTACAGACTAAGAGGAGCCTGGCTATACTGAGGATGCACAATGAAAGAAATGGATGAAATCTAATTGGATTTCAGAAAAAAGAAAAAGAGATGTCTGAATGACTGGGGAGAGCCCCTACAACATAGGACAAGTATTTATACTTGTCCGAACAAGAAGACTCCCAAAGGAAAAGGAAAACAAAACAACTGAGAATATGAAATATGCCAACCGAATGAGTAGTACTTCATTCAGCTGAGAGAAAATAGAATGGAAATCGACCGGAACTTCTCTGGCGGTAGCCGATGTCTGTACTCTATTCAACAAGTCCCTGGCGTCATCCCTGGCCTTGTTATGTCAAGTGTTTGGGAACCCTGTAGCACGGCTACACAAGGTTTACAGCCAAACCAATTACAATGCTTGCAACTTTTGACAAAAAAATAAAAAGTTTGACTTGCAAAGAAAAACTTTTTGGCTTATAATGGGACAGTATGCAAGGTGGGAAAATCAGGACAACTCAACTATCTGCTATCACACAGTGAGAGTTCCGACAGGCAGCCAACTGACATTTCAATTAAAATAATTTTTTTTGCTCAAGCAAACTTTTTATTTTTTTTGTAAAAAGTTGCAAGCATTGTTGGGTATGCTGTATCAACATGTTGCTAAACTTTTGGTGCAGTCCCAGTACACTGATCAACTGAAGCAACCAGCAGCTTGTTTTACACACATGTTCCAAAAACACTGTATCAATATTCTTGGATACATGGTTGAGTAAAAGTTAACATCTGCTGTTGTCATTGATGAACTTGAAGGAATGCTTTTGAGTTGTTCTCTCAATTTTCTTTTTCAAAAGTGGTGCATGCCTCTGATTCTGAGGGTACATGAATGTTAACTTGGATGTGGGTGCAGCAGCTGTAACTCATATTATCCAGCTGTGACAAAAGGGGTAACTATATTTATGTAAATATGTATTTACGTACTTGTGTATGTGGAGAGGGAGAAAACAAAAAGGGAAAATTAAAGGGACAAGTCCAACTGGCCAACTTCCCAACTCCCAGCCTCAGCCTCCAACAAACTCTCCAAAGACATTCTCCAGGAAACCGACACAGTCATAGCCCAGTCGAATCGGCAATACCATGGGGCTAGACTCATCACGCTCATTGAGGATCAAAGTCCTGCTTCTCATCGACACCGCCTTCTTCTTCCTCGAACTCATCGGTAAGTCATCCATCACCCCTCATCCAAATTCTTCATCATACACACTCACCAACAAGATCGGCCATCAGTCGGATACTCCGTCGGAAGCTTGGCCCTCGTCGCCGATAGTTTTCATGTCAGTCCTCTTCTTCCGCTCCTCAGGATTCCTCATGTTGCTTGATTTTCTTGCAAGATCATCCCTCTGACCAAACTTTGCCCACTTTCACAGATGCTCAACGATGGTCCGTAGTCTATCTTACCCACAGAAAACATCCACTGATCAAACACCAATCCAGTCTGCTCGTTATTGGTTGCACTCTATGCCATCAAACTCGCCGGAAACTCCAAGAGGAGTCACGAATATTCATACGGCTGGCAACGTGCTGAGGTACTAGGTAAGCAGGCACACCCACTCATATCCTTCCAGATCCAATTCAACTCCATTTCAGAAACTCATCAATTCTCATCCCAACCTCAGGTGCCCTGATCAATGGTGTATTCCTCCTGGCATTGTGCTTCTCGATCTTCCTCGAAGCTATCCAACGTGTCTTTGATCCCATTAGTGAGCAACTTTTACTCGTAATCAAATCAATCTGTTTTTTTTTTTTTTTTTTTTTTTTTTGTAACTAGTGCGACTTGTCTATTTTAGATATTTCAAGCCCACCCTTGGTCGTGTTAGTCGGCTCCTTAGGTCTGGCCTCCAACATCGTCGGCTTACTTCTGTTTCACGGTCAGCTCCATTCTACACCCTCGAAATCCACTTCAATTGTTTCATTTTGCTCATCATCCCTCAATTATCCTGTAGAACATGGCCATGCCCACGGAGGCGGACATTCTCATCATGCACATTCACGCTCGCATTCTCATCCAGAGCATCTTCCTGTCTCAAGCCACTCTGAAAACAATCACCAACACCTCCCCACAAACCTCGATCAACGAGTATCCCAGCCTGGACCAACCGATGAACATACCCCACTTCTTACTCCAGCCTCAGCACCCTCATCTTCCCCAATGGTCCGACAACCTTCCTCTAGTTCGATATCATCTTATGACTCCTCATCCACCGGTACCATCTCTCCCAAACCTGACAAGCGCCAATCCCTGATTTGTGTTCATCCTGCTCAAACCAGAAACAACATTCTCCGGGCCGCCGAACTCCAGCGTGACCAACTCACTCACCATCATTCCAGCGCCCGCACTCAGCCCCTTCCCAAAGCTGACATCACCGACAACCTTCCTACTCAGCCCACAAGTGATCCTGAGGCTTCTCATCCCCACCATCACTCCTCACATTCACATTCTCACTCACATATGAACATGCGCGCCATCTTTTTGCATGCTTTGGGGGACGCCCTCGGCAATGTGGGTGTGATCGTGACTGGGCTATTGATCTGGCTGGTCCCCACAATCGATCGACACGGGAACGCTGGAAAGAACGGATGGATCGTTTACGCTGATCCTACAATCAGTTTGGTGATCACCGGAATCATATTTACCTCTGCACTCCCGTTAGGTAAGCCATACCTCACTTTCTTCTTACAGACACGCTCACCCAAAGTACGCTCACCCAAAGTATAATCATCGATATCAATCTCTCCTCCATTCAATAGTCAGATCCGCCAGTTTGATTTTACTTCAGGGGACTCCTTCGCATGTTAATCTTGGTAGAGTTCAAAAGTCGCTCGAGGCCATCAAAGGTGTTTTGCAGGTTCATGGCGAGTTTATTTCTCTCTTCCTCTATGGTGGTCATCGCGCTTGAGAGCTGACTCATCATAATCAACTGCAGAACTACACATTTGGAGCTTATCGGAACTCAAGCTAGTCGCCTCGGTTCATGTGCTGATAAAAAACCAAGATGATTTCGTCACCATCAGTCGCCACATCCGGAAATGTCTCCATCATTATGGCATTCACTCCAGGTATCTCATATGTAAACGTTCTCTTTAGTCGTTCGAAGCAAACTGACTCTTTTTTTATTCCCTCTTTGCACCAGTACTATCCAACCCGAGATCCTTCTAGAGGAGCAAGTCAACAGTCTCAGAGCGATGTCGACCACCTCATCCGCCTCTCCCCCCGCTCGCTCACGTCCAGCCTCTACTCCAACGACTGATGTTGCAAATGTAAGGATTTGAGAATTCTTGAGAACTGGCCCCGAGTTCTTGCTTTCTGTTGTATGGTTTTCGATTAATTACTGACGGCTACGATGGATCGAATGTCTTGACAGCTCATTGATGTGGATGGATGTCTGCAACAATGTGACGAAACATGCGACCAGGAAGCTTGCTGCCCTCCTGGTAGCGTGCAGCCCCGAATTCCTGCCGGTGATTCTACTGCCCCGTGAAAAACAGAGTCGACCACCTTAGCGTTCCGTCCTCGATCCCTTCCTTTATCATCGTTCTTGTGCATTTCAAATTCATGCCCATCTGCTCTGCTTTCATACTGTCATAATAGAGTTCCGAGCTTTTTTTTGTGTGTGATAATTGTTTGGTGTTTCTTTTTGTTTCCACCTACCTATAAATTGCTGCATCTAATTTTCTTTTCCTGTACTGCCATATGTCACAGAAGAATATCCAGTTCAAGCTATATAGATATTTTTGTGGTTGCTGCTGTTTTGGAGCTGTATCATTCACAACTGAGTTTAGCCTTGAACACTGATTTGGTGTTCTGCTCTTCACTCTGGTTACGCAATATTGGGGTGGTCAAATGGGCTCTTCGGCCGGTGCTGATGATCCTTACACATTGATGCGACCCTTGATACAACAGGCAGAATAGGCAGAAAACCTAGATGCATGCAGACAGTGTTAATATCTCTTTTTGTCGGACTTGACATGCTCAGGCCCAGCCTCCCAGGTCCGAGTAAAGCTATATATCAATTGGTCCCGGAAGTGAATCAAGTTGGAAGACTCACCCTGGTGGCCCTTTTGAATCAGCCTGAAACTGTTTCCTTGTCCGTGATATGGTCGCTTGGCGAACAAAACATAATGGACCACGCAATGAACTGCTTCAAAAAGCGATCACAGTAGAGACTGATGAATTGATGTAAAATGGCAGTCACGGTAGTCCTTATTCGCATATTAACTATGGGGTAAGTGAATTTTACAAACTATTTTTTACAAGACATATGTCTTGTAAACCGGATAGTTTGTAAAATTACACTTTTATGGGGGTAATTTATAATTTTACAACCCATCTGTGATTTTCAAAGGTTGTAAAAAAATGGTTTGTAAAATATGTTTGTTAAAATTGTATCACAACATTGGATTATGTAATTTTACAAACTATATCATGCAAGTCTTGCATGACAAGGTTGTAAAGTTGTATAACAAACCTTAAATTTAGAATTTTACATGACATTTGCTTGCAAACCATAATGTCTTGTGAAACTAAGTATGTAAAAAACCTTATTAATACCCTGTAATAGAATTTTACAACACATAATTTACAATCTACCCACCAAAAAAGGTTAAACTCTCACCATGCAAGATGATTTCAATTGAATCTCCCACAGTCGCCAAGATCAAGCTTCCAACGTGAAACCTTGTTTTCTGAAATTTTTGAGAAAAGGTAAACTATTAGCATTATCTGTCACAGATTTTCAAAGCTGTGAAATCCGTGTGACATGTCCCAAATCTCGCACACTGTGAAACCTTGTTTTCTCAAACTTTTGGGAGGGTACACTATTAACATAATATGTCACGGATTTTTAAATCTGTGAAACCCTTGTGACTTGTCTGACCTTTTTGCAAACCTGTGACATTTTTGAATTTCTGGAAGTTTCAGCCTATTTTATGGACCCCCCTCCAGCTCAGGTCAAGGGCCACCCTGGTCAATGCTCAGATTTTTTTGAGGTTGCAAAACAATGTTTGCAAAATTCAATTTTACATACTATCTGTTACAATTTTGCAACACATAAATCACAACTCATTTAAGGGTTGCACACTAATGGTTGCAAATTTCCTTGAAGGAAGGCAAAAAGGTTGCAAAATATGGTTTGTAAAATTCAATTTTACATACCTTGTTGTGCAATTTTGCAAAACATAATTTACAACTCATAGATGGGTTGCAAACTAATGGTTGCAAAATTCCTTGAAATAAGGCAAAAATGTACTTTTGCAAATCATATTGTTTGCAAGACATAAGGGTTGCAACATATGTGCCTTAAAATTCTACTCCATGGGGCATGGGTTGCAATTTTAAGGCACATATTTTGCAACCCTTTTTTTTGCAACCCATATTTTTTGGTGATGGTTTGTAAAATTATACATTACCCCCACAAAAATGTAATTTTACAAACCATCTGATTTACAAGACATATGTCTTGTAAAATATAGTTTGTAAAATTACAGCGACCCATTAACTATTTACATTTTGCAGTCACTAATCAAGTCTTTGCTCCTCTCAAAACACTTTCAACAACGATTTAGAATCAAAGCATGGATCACCTCACTCCACCAAAAAAGCATTGGGAATACAATTCGAATCTCATAAGAGGTCGTGCATCAGTGGCTAGCAAAATGGTTGACCTCCAGGACCTCACATGTGTTTTGGCACTATTTCAAATCTCAGAGCATACGAAAACTCTCGAAACAAAGACATGAAAGTACTGAATCGAGTGTTGAAATAATTGCAACATGCTTATGCCTGCAACTATATCCTGTCCTTATAAAATCTATCTATACTGTAATTTGAGCAAATTTGTTAAAGATTGTCCTGAAGTATTTATGTACGTCCTTGCGCTTGTTGTGGCCGAAAAACCTTGGTCCATCTGGGATTTTTTACATGATTGATAAAAAAAATGTCGTCTAGGTGTACCGAGAATTCGTTGATCGATTCAGCGATTTCAGGCCTATCTCATCTTCACCTTCCACACCTCTGCGTTCCGCACTTGGATCTAAAAGTCTAAAGTCCGCACAGCGGTATTTTTTACTCCTAGTGTGAGGCATCGCGAGCGTTCAATTAGGCGCCCTTTCTCTTCGTTTCTCACTTGCTAGTGCTTATGAGCTGGTTCGTGAGCAGAACCGTGACCACCTTTCTCTAAGTCTCGCTTTTCGTCGGAGAGTCCAATGTTGTCCAGGTACACAGATTTATCGTCGCTCATCAAGACTAGACCTTTCCAAATCGCCAGGATCGTCAAGAACAGAACAATCAGGTAAACAGAGAACACCATGATTGTCAGTCCCGTTTGGAACACTATGAAAACTTTCGAGTCGAAGGTTTCTCCAAGGAACTTGAGAGACAGGATGAGACCGATATTTGGGAAGGTAGTCGCCCAACATCCCAGAATCTCATTCAGATGCTTGTCTGGGAAGATAGAAGAAACGAGGAATCAGTGACTTCTTGTAGATGTTCACATACACTTACAAGAAACACTGACGAAGTCTTGTCCAATAGGGAATTGCTGCCATGATGAATAGTACCGCAGAACAGCCCGTCAACATTGTCCCCACAAACACACATCCCGCTATAGAACAAAGCAAATATGGTAAGGTGAATATTTCTAGTTTGGGCGCAAGTTTATTCAAAAGAATGAGGAACTTACTCTTTTCTCAAAGTTAGTCAAACCAAGATAACAGGTGAAATGGACTCGAAAGATCAGTGTCAAATCAACAACGGCCCGTCGATTGATTGAACTTACGAAAATGATCTCCCCAGCGTTTGGTGATATCAAAGAATGAATCGGGAAGCTGGAAAAATTGAAAAAGAAAAAGTTTTAGCCTTGCGACTTGCAAGCGTGAATTGGGCTGACTAGCTTGTCACTTACAGTTTCGAAGCGATTTTACCCATGTTGAAAAGTATGATGGCTGAATTGGAGTGAATAAGATTAGTTTGAGATGACTGAATAATTTATGTATTGAATGCTAACACTCACCCGAAAATCCCTGCGAGAACCGATGAAAGTGTGAGGATAAGACAACAAACACAGACCAAAATGAAAATGACACAAATGTCAAAGAACAGTGTTTGGAAGTATCATGAATCGGATGAAGCACTTACCGGTGGCCCGGCGGCAATGAAAGCCCCATTTGCCTTGAAAAACACAATTGTTCGATGGTGAGTTGATGGTCGTTGTCAGAGAGAAAGAAATTCTCTATTTGCAAGCTTACCTGATGACCGTCCAGAAATCCCGTCGTCATGATCCGGAGGAGAAATATGGCCTGATTATCTCAAAAGACTTGAGCATTCTAATTTTTTTGAATCTTGTAACATTCTCTGATGAAGACTAACCAAGTAGAAGATGCACATAAATGCGCCAGCCCCGAACATGAACAGACCAGTAATAAAAATTGATACAGCCCTGGGATCAGTCAATGGCACGATACGAAGGACGTTGAAAGTGACGACCCCCGTCAAGAGCAATGGGAACACAGGGAAAGCCCAAGCTAATTGTAAGAAGATCCGCGGATTCATGTCAATGTTGGCCATGTTGAACAGCCAAGTGCTAAGTTTAGTCAACGGAAACATACCAGGAGTCATAGCGGCGGTTGCTTCAATCAGAAGATCGTCCAAGTCAGCGATATCACATATCAGGGGGGCTTTCAGGATGGCAAAACTACACTCACGATTTCTCGGTGAAGAAAACCATATGGTGAGGACCGTAAACGCAACGCTGAAGGAGAGAAAAATTGCATGTGAATTTCAAGCATGAGCGTGAGTCATGTTGATGAATGATGTCAGAGGAACTACAGACAGTATTGCGACCGTCACGTAGATCCAAAAAAATATGATGAGTTCATCGGCCGTTATTCCTATTGGAACACTGAAGTAGACGTAAAGGGCAAGCCAGAGTGTTAGAATGGACCATCTGGACTCTTCCATCAAAGTTGAGACTTTGAAGAAATTGCATACCCTGGTAGTAATCAATCGCAAATTGAACACATGTATATCGATGAAACAATCAATTTTCGTGAAAAACTGCTCATTAATGCCCCCATTTAACAAATCAAAAACAACGCGTACCCTGTGTGCATATGTAGTTTGTTAGCTAGAGGTAACGAGATTAGTGGAGGACAAAATTTCTCAAGCTTACATAGTTGACAGTTCCAATGATGATCGTTGCACTGTGAAGAATATCATGTCAAAATTTGCAGCTCCTCCACCAATCAGAGGATGAGTTAAACGAACAAAACCAGGACGCAGGTTGGGATAAATGAGTTCTTGTTCGGATCGAGCGCTACCCTCTTGAATTGCCTTGGATATAGGACCGCTACCATAGGATAGATGAATGTCAGAATCAGCCAAGAAAATGCAAATTGATCATTGATGGAGCACACACCTTGAACAACTAGCAACCCAGTAGTGAGGCAAAACACAATGATTTCCAAGATAAAAAGCCCGATTTCGATGTGAGTGAGAAATTGTGGATGAGGCTTGAGATTGGCCAACAGAATGTATGCAGTTGCAGTACCTAAAAAATAATTCTTAGCTGCTGGTGAGTTCTAAAAGACATTGTTAAGTACGTGCTTACCCAGACCGACCGGCTACAGAAAAAGTGGAAACAAGTTAGTCATTATTCTTCAAGAGAAGCACATACATACAAATTGAAAGCGCGCATCAGCTTACATACGCTTGCCAGGTTATACCATGAATTCGTTTAGAAAAGTTGGAGACAGTGGGAACAGGTAGAACGGAAATACGACGATTGATACGCGACATGCGCTGATGGGCCCGCGAGCCTAAACTATTAGGATTGTCGGCCGTCATACTAATGATTGCCAACACAAACAATGATGAGCAGCTGAAGATAGAACCTCTCACATCCAAAGATGAAGGACTGGAAATGTGGTTTGCCTTATCAAAGGAAGTTGTGGACAAGAGGCCGCCGAGTTGAGAATAGTTTCCTAAGTGTATCTGGAGAACAGGCGATAGTTGGGACGAATGTATGACTTGAATTGAGATTAAGGCAACGATGGTCCCTCGAAACCGGGTGGGATAAAATGACGAAATTAACACTCGAGTAATTCACTGGAGGAATTATAGTTGGTCAGGGTGGCGATGCTTGTATAATAAGTTGTCCAGCCTTTGTTTCCAATGGATATGAACGCTTGCTGGCAAGGATGTTGCGCCAATGCTCGGGCTCACCGGTAGTTACAACTGACGAGCGGTTAATGTGAAATATATAGGTTGTTGCTCAGGAAGCCAATAATATGTGTGCTGTCAGGCTGATTCAAAAAAAAGGTCAATGTGCTTGGAAAACGAAAGACCAAAATGAAGGTCGGTGGTGTCAGTCGGAAGTAGGGTCTACGGGTCAGTCTTAAGTGAATGTGTCGAACGGTCAGTGGTAAATAGGAAATATTTTAAAGCTTGGGGGGACGGGGAAGTAGGAAATTTTCGTCCGGAACGACTCAGCGGAAGCGCTTTATGAGAAGCTGAGTTGAGCCAAACCAGCATGGAACACTTTCTTTGCTACTCGCTCCTTCATCGACCAAACGGAAGTGTGGCATTCCTTGGCAACCCGATAAGGACTCGATTGCCAAGCAGTTGTTGAGCATCAAAGGTCGTTCAAGGAGTCCGACCTTCCGCAATCTCACGAGATTCAAAGACTCCAGAGCTGGTTCATCGCCCTCGAGCAAACGTTGTTCACCGCCTGATCAGTGCCCATGAAGCAGAAATCGGCGGCCGTGTGGCTACAATCTCCATCAAGTAACTCCCACTCACGCTCAGCAATATCCATCAACGCTGATCAGACGTCCCAGTCCTCCAGATTTCAGGAAACCCTTGACCTCTCACCAAGGCTTGCCGATTGATTTGCGACGAGCTTAGGATCTAATGTGTAAATCCACTCTCCCTGGAAAGATATTTGAGAGATTATCTTCCAGTAGACCCTATCACTCTAATTTGTTTGGAGCCCATTATGGGAATTGGGTTGATCATCAACGTGAATGCAGACAATAGTTTTGTTGTGCGCATCAAGCGGTATGTCTCACTTATCCACCATCAAGGTGAGACAATTCAAGGCAGTCATAGTGTCAGCTATGTGTATGCTTCCATTTAGCACTCTCATCATTCCTGTAGTACTCTCTTTCAGAAATCTGCTGCAGCATATTTCTTAGGGTAGACATAGAACAAGTTCTTCCATCTACCCGAGTGTGGGTGGTAAATAAATTTCTGTTATTCATTTTAAATGACTGTATTTAAAAAGGAAAAAAGATATTTAGGGACCACGGGGAATAATTAGTGTGTATAGAAGAAGATCATTTACGTTTCTTCTTTGAGTCTATTTTTATGCATAATCTTTTTTATAAAAATTATGGAAGATGTAGGTTTAAGAAACAAACACGCCAAAAACTACTTCTTCTGTAGGGTGGGTGGGAGGTTGAGGATTTTTTTTGGGTAATTTTTGTAAGTAAGAAAAATTATAGGATGATGATAAATAACATTGGAGATCATCGTAGGCCTAGTGGGAGAAAGTCTCATTAGCTGTTTGAGACTCTAGAGATGGTCGCTTTGTATCCGGATATCCGCTGACGATTTCAGCGGAATCAGACATCTACATCCGCATCCGCTGGCATTGGCGGCGACCAATGGCGGGTATCTGCGCGGATATCCACGGATACCCGCCCTCTAAATGGGCGGCAAGGCACCTTCCAGCAGATTTTTTCTTTTTTTTCAAAAAAAAAAAAAAAACGGCCCCCTCGGCCTAGAGTCTGAGAGGCAGAGGCCACACCGTTGGGAGGAACCCCTCCCAGCAAGTGTCTACATGCCAGCTTGCCGAGAGCAGTTCCTCCTGGCGAGCTGGTTTTTAAACCAGCTCATTGGAAGGACTCCCTTCTGACAAGCTGGTCTGTGTACCAGCTTGTTGGGAGGAAGCCCTCCTGACAAGAGGGTATGTACACCAGCTCGTCAGAAGGGATTTCTTCTGACAAGCTAGTATGTATACCAGCTCATTGGGAGGAATCCCTCCCAACAAGCTGGTACACAATCCAGCTCGTTGGAAGGGATTTCTTCCGACAAGCTGGTATGTACAGTGCCTAGACAGTGAAAAGTGGCTGCTTATTTTGGATTCCAGAGCTCCAAAACACAAATTTGAAATCATGAGACTTGGTCAGGTGGTGCATAATAGGTCCCATAAAATGAATATGAAATAATAAAAGCAAAAAATATAGTTTCGAAATTTGTGAAAAATAAAAAATAAAATTGACTTTTTTCAAAAGCTTTGATATTCATTTTGGGGGAGTGGGAGTGCTGAGAGAAAGAAAGATTGGGAAATGAGAAAAATGATTATAAATGAATATTTTGGAAAAACTGGTTTTCAGATGGCTTCAAACAGCTGTTGAGTGGGGCATTCACCAGCCCACATTGCAGCAAAGCACTAGAATTTACTGTTTTGGCTCCAATCTGGACCATCAAAGTCAGGCTTATACTAATTATGGGAAGGGAGAATCGTGGTGTTCTAGCCGTAGACTAAGAAGAATCAAATATAGGTTAATATTTTTCTTTTGAGGCTCAGGTCAAAGCTCTTGAGACTTACTTGAGCTTCCTGAAGCAAAGAGCCAGGGCAATCCAATACTCACACTAGTAGTCGAGTTGGGAAATTTTAGATCGGGATTCCAGGCTATTGATAACAGTTCAAGCTACCAGAACTTGTACTGTAAGGAGAATTGGGCTGTGGTTAGAGTAGATTTATTTATAAAATAGAGTATAAATGTTCTAGTTAAGAGGTATTTCTAAAGGTTGTATTCTTTAGTGAATGCTCTTTGAAGTAATGGATTTATAGTATATTGATAAGTAATTGATTTCTTTAAATCTGAGGAAAAAAGGGGAAGACTCTCCTTCAGCTCTCAAGTCTTGTCCTTAAATATTCTTGGCTTCTGTTCTGGGGTTATCCCTGAAAACAAACTATGAGATCATAGTCCACTTTTAATTGAGGGTCCTCTTGGACCAAGGTAGCCTGCTTGCTCTAAGATAATCTTTTACTCAGCAGGTTTGTATTTATGTTTATCTTATACAAACCTCCACTTGTTAGTTCACCTGTTGGTGATCTCATGAATTTACAGTCTTACTTTGTGTTGATTATTTGTTTGTTCTACATTATTTATGTTTTATTCTTATTGCATCTTAATTGATATTTAATACTATTTGTCACAGTCAAGAGTGTCACTACATGTGTTACACTCTTGCCTGTTGAAATTTTCCACCCCTTAAAAGGATTCATCTTCCTATATGAATTCATTGTCTTTTGTCTATTCTATATTGTCTCAGCAATTTCTGGTTTTCTGGTATTTCTTTCTCAGTGAGCCATTCATCCTCTTTACTACCACTGTATCTTACTAAGTACTGAGTAAGGTCTTGATTGTTAACTCTAATCTTCCTGTTTTGAATAATCTTTTTTATTTTTATCACTTCTGGTTCATCTACTCAGCGGTGGGCCGCTACGCTAATCGCTAACAGCGAGTCCACTGCGTTACGCTACACTAACCGCTACGGTTAGTGTAGCGGCCCACCGTTGATCTACTGGTATGTATTATTTCTGTTAATTTTTCTTTCAGTCTCAAAGGAAATTTTTGCACATCATTCTCCTGATATGGTTTCATTAGGCTTACTGGGAATGTAGGATGTTTTTTCTCAAGTTCTCCTGACAAGTAAACTTCTATTGCGTTCTTCCCATGCAGTTTCCTGATCTCAAATGGTCCTACAAAAATTAAAAGACATTAAAAAAAGCTGTCCAATGCAGTATTCAATAAAAATCTTTGGTTTTTATGTAAAATGATTACTACCATGATTTTACACATGTTTGAAATTGTATGAAAGGAATTCAAAATGTCAAAAACAATGAAAATTAAGCTGTAAAAATTAATTGAAAAATATGACTAATCACAATATTCAGAATGAACCATTAAGTTTTAAGAAAAATGGATGTAACCATTAAATCCTACACATATTGAAACCTAGGAAATAAATTTAAAAGGGCCTTAATCAAAAAACGCGGTTTTTCCGCGTTTTGACACGGTTTTGATGCGCCGCAGCACACGCGGTTTCCGCTTTTAGACGCGGTTTTTTAATTAATTTTTTATGGGTTATTTTTTGAGTTTTTTTGAATTTTTAAAGTTGTTTCCTACACTATAAAAGGAGTAGAATTTAATGGTAAAAACCATTTTTCATAAAAATGAATTTTGATTATTAATTTTTTTTTTCACTCATTTCTCAATTAATTGTTTGCATACATGTATGTACCTTATTTTTTATGCTTTTGTGAAATTTTAAAATTATTTCCTAGGTTTCAATGTGTGTAGAATTTAATGGTGCAATCCAATTTTTTTAAAACTCAACGGTTCATTTTTAATACTGAAATTAGACCCATTTTTTCACTTAATTTTTTACAGCTTAATTCTCATCATTTTTTGACATTTTAAGTTTATTTCCCACACTTTAAGACATGTAGAAAATGATGGTAACAACCATTTTTCCCCAAAATAAAAACTATACCTTGAATGCCGCATTTGACATGTTTTTTTTAATTAATTCATCACTTTTTCACTTAATTGTTTGCATACATGTGTGTACCTTATTTTCTATGCTTTTTTGAAATTTTAAAGTTGTTTCCTACATTTAAAAGTGTGTAAAATTTAATGGTAACATTCAATTCCCATAAAACTCAACGGTTCATTCTGGATACTGTAATTAGTCATATTTTTCAATTGATTTTTAAGAGCTTAATTTTCATTATTTTTTGACATTTTAAATTTGTTTCCTACACTTTCAAACATGTATAAAATTATGGCAACAATGAATTTTCATCAAAATGAAAACTATATCTTGAATAATGCCTTTGACGTGTTTCCTGAATTAATTCTTACACGCTCAATTATCCTTAT